AGATGGACTTGAACCAGTGTCCAGTCTGCAAAGAGGAGGGTCAACACAGAGGAAACATTTTCTCCATGCTTCCAAGCAAAGCCCCGGTCAAGCAGGACCTCTAGACTTATCTTCACATAGATGGAACTGGTAAAAGAAAAGCCTGAGGAGCCAGGGGCTCCCCCTAAGCCCATGTGACCCCTGAGGAACAGATCCTCAAATGACCTTAAAAATAAAAGTAAACTGGTTTATTTGGGTCAACTGTATGGTCTTAAACACCCAAAAGGAAAGTATAACCAAAAATTAATCAGTATATTTCTTTAAGAGTCCAAAGGATTGCATTTCCCAGACATTAGACTTAAGTCCAGGTAAAATGTTATTTAGACAATTATTTCTCAGTAGTGATTTTATTCTTAACAAGAAAATGCTGCTCAGGTGTAAGACTTCAGTTCTTGGTCTCCAATACTCTAGTGCCCACCTGCAGCTACTACTGTTCTAAAATAAAGGCTAAATTTATTTTCTCTCCCTGTCTAGAAGACTGATCCTAGCCATTCCAACAGCTATCAAGATGCCTGAAAGCAAATCCTGAGTCCATCACTCTTGAGTCCAGCCTTGGCAGACAAAAGAAAAATGAGGAGTAACCTAACAGAGGGATGGTTTTGGAAACTCTCATCAAGAAATTCCAATGGACATTTGAAGTTTTCTCTGTTGTGACTTTTTTCTGGTTCCCTAACACTTGTAATGCTAACTATTCTTGCCTTTACTTCTCTGTCACATCTCCCAGGCATTGGTCAAGGACCTTCATTTTCTCCCTATAGTTAAGTTATGCAATTTGGGAGTCTTTTAAATAGACCCACTGAAGAGGATACCCCAATTGCCTCACCTTGCATCCCTGTTCAGCATGGAAGAAGCCAGAGTGGTCTGTGTCCCAATTCCCTATTGGCAATTTGGGTAAGCCTCTTCAGAGGGTGATAAGAATAGGAGGTAGGAATTGGCTAGGCAGCTAGGGTAAAAAGACCTCAAACGAAAGTAGCCAGTTTCTTTCTTGGCTAAAAGTCAAAATGTCCTTGGGCCATTTAGCAAAGTACTCTGTCCCAAAGGCCAAAAACATTAAAAGTATTTGGGAGCTTGTGCTGGATAGGTTTAGTGTTAACTTGACACACCTGGGTTGAGGGAGCCTCAGTTGGGGAATTCCCTCTATTGGACTGGCCTGTGGCCATGTCTGAGGGGCATCTTCTTGATGAATGATGTGGGAGGGCCCAGCCCACTGTGGGTGGTGCCACCCCTGGGCAAGTGGGTCTATGTTGCATATGAAAGCAGGCTGAGCAGGGGCCAGGGGAGTGAGCTAGTAAGTAGCATTCATCCATGGCCTGTGTTCCGGTTCCTGCCCTGAGTTCCTACATTCATCCATGGCGTGTGTTCCGGTTCCTGCCCTGAGTTCCTACTGTAAGAGAGAAAAACCACAGAGGACAAGCCAGCCTTCGGGTTGCAACAGCAAGAGGTTTATTTAGTACACAGGTACCTGTGGGCACAAAGTCTCCTTGGGGGACTTGCGCGCCTCAGGTCGGGTTTGTGGAGCTTTTATAGGGCAGAAGCGGGGTACAGAAGCAGAAACGCGGTTATTGGTTCGTTTAAACTATTACAAAATGCTACAGGGAGAGCGGGGAGCTTACTTATCACTAAGCCAGATGTCCCAACCATAAAACTTATTTATCAGTGAGTTGGAGATGTCCCGGCCATAAAACTTACTTATCAGTAAGCCAGATGTCTTGACCGGTA